ATTATACCAATATTATTTTATTTTAAAAAATTTGAATTAAAAAACACTTTTTTTAAAGAAAATGCCAACCATTGGATCAAAATAATCCAATAACATAGAAGGAGAGCAATGCACCACATGATTGCACATGCAAATTTTAAGAAACAATTTTAAAATGAAAAACAACGGAAGAGTATAAGTTCTCTTTTAGAACATGCTACACTGGATTAAAGTTTTATCTCTGTTCTATTTTTTAAAAGAATAATGGGAGAAAACTCTCATTATACATACTCTTAGAGTTACAAAGTGTTATTTCCAATGTATGAAACAAGAGTCTAAGAGTTTGCCTCATTACTAACTTTTGAATCAAATTGCTTGCAAAATTGCTGTCTCGCAACTCTTTTCATCTAATTATAATGATGAAATTGTAAGCAACTAATTCTTTGAAAGAGAAGGCTTAGCCAATAGCAATTGCCATTTTATAACAAGGCTTTCACTTTCTTCACCAAGATTTTTAAATAATGTTTGACATTTTAGTTAGTTTAAATGATGGGTCACTAATGGATGAACCATTTAAAAAGTTAAGTGACAATTTTGTTTGGATTTAAGTTGGGTGACCAAAAATGTTCATTTTAACAAACATAGTGACAATTTTGTTAGAGTTATAAATTGAATCACCAAAGTGTTGATTTTGGAAAAGTTTGGTGACTACCGATGAGATTCACCCAAAAAAATAAAATTAGGTCCAGTTTCCATGTTGCTTTAAAGTTGAACGTGGGAAAAATGAAGTGTAGAATTTTGATATTGCATTGACCAGAAGGGATCAATCAATCCCATCAAAGGAAGGCAAAAACGTTGAAATTTTAAGGGTGTACATATGGGTGATTGATAGCAGCTCCTTAACAATCATCAGACAATTTCAAGAAAAGGGCCCTACCTCTTAATTTAAATCTCTACAATTTCTTGGCAGTTGAAGATTCAGTCACTTTCATGCCATACTGCAAAAATTATTCCACATTTTTTGGGTTGAGATATAGAAGAAACAGGACACCGCACGTCAAATTTGTCTGCTGGATTTAATGTTAAATATTCAATTTCATACTGATTACCGAGGGAAAATTATCTTGACAATTCTTTAGGAGAACGATGGAAGTTTTGAAAGTTCTTAAGTTTGAATTCTTAAAAAGATTGAGAGCTAAGAAAGTCCTGTGTTTCCTAAATAGTTAATCCTAGCCAAAAGGTAAAGTCTAAGATACAAATGGGACTCTACTTTTGTTAGCCTTCTGTTAAGAGTTACAGTCAGTGGGGAAACGCTGTTTGGTTGCACTTTCAAAATTTTCAGTGCATAACCTTTCTACGGACGAAAACTACATGCATGTACTGTACAGATTTTGGTCTTTCACTTTGCTTTAGACACTGCACCATTTGCTAATTGATCTCCCCGCTAACAGTAGAACATCACACTCTTCACCCTCTCTTTTAACGCCGGTAGAGGGCGGACACAGGATCCACTGGTTGTGCGTGTGCATCGTGCTTTAGCATTTTCTGAGGCTTCAGGTTCGATGTAGAATCGTGCTCGGTAGGCTGCTAGATGAGCATAATAAGCCGGGGGCACTACAAATGTAAAGGAAAAAGATATGTTACTTGATACTCAGATGCCAATATGGATAATTTCACCATTTCTTGCACAACATAATCACAATTCTAAGCAAAAATATCCCAGTGGTGATGGATCATATTGTTTACCTACTGAAACTGATCGCGTACACCGAGCATACCTGCAATCAAATAATCTATTAGTACTGTACATTTAGGGCTAATGTAATAGCAACATAGGAACTAGAGACTTCTTACGTGTAGCAGAGGTTGTTTGTCAGAGATTGTATCTCATCAGCACTGAAATTATTTTCATCCCAGAGAATATGATAATGAGCAGGTCGACTAGTCCCCTGTCAAATCCCATTTTGAATGTAAATAAATGCTTGCTATCCATGGCATTCATGTAATAGATTATATAGGTTTACATCTTGCAAAGATTTTGAACTAATTCTCTAGTACTTTTGGATCCCATACCTGGATTCCTGCATGACTGCATAAAAAGAAGTCAAACTCGGTAGGATGACAGATCTTAGAGTCCACCACGGTACCTGCAGTTAAGAACATCAAATACTTAAAATCTTGAGGTTGCTGAAGATGGAGTTGGTTATCTTTCTGTGAGTAATCATAAGCACAAATCTGAGCAGTAACAAGAAGAAGCTACATTCTATACCAGGTAAAATATTCCCACTCTTGTCGATGCTGCTTCTGTCATTGTGATTGCTTGGAAATAGCCTAGTGTGGTGCCTCTTTTGAACCACAATAAATGTTACTGGAGGTTGATAACCAGGTTCTAGTGATGCACAAGCCTGCAACTAGCAGAGCATTAGCAAGGTGGAACCCGGTAAATCAAGAATGTGAGAAGGCAACCTACCTTACGAATGGCATCGAGTTCATATAATAGAACCTGATAGAATTGGCCCTCACTGACCCCATCTCTACAAAGAGTAATAGATGATATCACAAAACTTTAAACAACTAGAAAATATTTAAGCATGCAATTTTTATTTCCTTTGAAGTCTCATTTAAAAGAAATAAAGATTAAAAAAGCTAATAAACCAGTTGACAAGTAATTATCAAAGAATACCTGTAAAAGATTATCCTTAGTGGTTTTTGTCCGGTAGCCTTCTTAAATGAAAGTAAGAGCTCCCTGATGAATCATAAGTTTGATAGACTTATATCAGCTTTCAGCTAATCAACCAAAAACATATAACAATTTGCAGTTCCATCTTTCACTTTCTAGTTAGGGGTCACCGAAGCCCAGCAATAGACATTTGCTTATATTGATAAATGAACACAGAAACTTAAAAAAAATGCAGGTTTTCAAGTGTGATAATTTTTAGAGTATAATCTTTTGAAATTTGATAACTCTTCATTCTCTTGGTAACGGAGTCCTAAAAAAAATAAACATAGTCAAGTTCTGAACTCAAGGAAAAGAGGCAATGCAATATCAAAAAGTACTATAAATAGACCAAAAATTTACTAGAAACAATGATCATTTCTGACCATGCTAAAGGTGATTTCCACGATCAATAATCAAATAATACTGAAGGACTTTAACTAGCATGCCAACTGGTTAACAACCGAACTCAAGTCATGCAAACAGAACCTTAAATGAGCAACCACTACTTGGGAAGTGGAGATGGGGAATGCTGAATGAGAAGAGAGCTCTTTGGAGAAGGGTCTTGGTTGAACTATTTGGTGTTAGGAGGGTGGAGGATAGATTGGAGGAGTGGTTTAGATCGAGGGATTCTATTTGGTGGAAAGATTTATGGAGTTTAGACTTAGGTGGAAGATTTAGAGAGGGATGGCTGAGGAAGGGGTTAGTCAAAAATGTAGGGGAGGGTAACGGCACACAGTTTTGGACTGAAAAATGGTTAGGGGAGAATTCAATTAAGGAGAGGGTACCTAGGCTATTCTATTTAGCAAGCAAAAAGGAATGTCTGGTGTCTGACTCAGGGAGTCTGGGAATGGCAGTGGAGTTGGAGAAGTGAACTTTTTACTTGGAAAAAAACAGTTTCACTGGAATTATGTGTGGAATTGGAGATGGTACAGCTAAAGCATGGGCAGGAAGACTCTTGAAGTTGGAAATGGGACATCAAAGGAGAACATTCAGCTCAGTCAGCATACAGAGTTTTGATGGAAGACCAGACACACCAAAACAAGGCTGCCTACAAGTTACTATGGAATAAGAAGTTTCCTTTGAAAGTGTCAGCATTTGTGTGGAAGGCTCTTTAAGAAAGGATCCTAGCAAAAATAAACTTAAGAATTATAGGTGTAATTGGTAATGCAGAATATAACATCCAGTGTGTGTTGTGTAGTGATCATAAGGAAGATGTGAATCACCTACTGTTCTTGTGCTTAAACCCATGGAAATTATGGGCAGCTTGCTACAATTGGTGGGGCATTCAATCTGTGACATGCACTGGAGGCATGAACCATTTGGAGCAGTATTGCGATTTAATTTGTAGAGGCAGTGAGGTAGAAGCCTGGTTCGTGATATGGGTCACTGCAAGTTGGGCCATTTGGTTTTGGAGGAATTAATGTGTTCTTAAAGGAGAGCTTAGGAATCAGGAGAAGATTCTGAAATTGATAATTAAGATCTTTCCATTGACTTACAGCAAAAAACTGGCCTGAAGGAAAGCTATACACAGTGTTGAGTAATTTATTTTCTTAGTTTGTGGTCACGAGCTATGCAGTATGCATTGTCTTCATGTGAGAATTGGGAATTCATTGGGGATGTAACGGATTGAAGTTGCCCTTGTACTTTCTTGAAATTAAAAATTGTTGTTTGCCAAAAAAAAAAAAAAAAAAAGCAAACCTGATCATGCCTCCAGCAACTGTTCCCTGTTGAGGGTCCTGCCAGCTTTTGAAGAGATCCTGAATAAGTTCTTGCCTATGAGGCTGAGCACATACCAATCCAGCATACTTTGTAACTTCTGGCCAGTCTTGTGAGGCCACAACCTGAGCAGAAGCATTTGTTAGAGAAAAAACACAGCCAACATATCCACCTAACTAACAAGAGAATTCCACTTACAGCAGCTATAGATGGAGCAGAGTCCTCTCCACACTCTGGATGAGTTACATCAGCTCCAAAAATTATTGTAGGTATGTCACTAACCAAAGGAATTCTCCAACTTAAAGCATCTAATAGCACAGTATTTCTTCCACCCATCTGAAAAGATGAAATGAATCTTATTTAAATAACATTAATGCAAGATCTCATTATTTGATTTTGGGATCACTAACATGGACTGACCTTGACATTAATTTTAAGTGACAAATTTGCTAGGTACTGTCTGCTAATCTTGGAGACATGTTTTGCTAGGCAACACTGAGAAATCAATCCAAGATCTGTTTCGCAAATTCGCTTCAGATCACCTGAATGCAGAACATGTTACTTGCAGAAAGAACAGAACTGCATATCTAACGTCAGGGGGTTCCAGTTTAATTGTAATAGGGAGCTTAGAGGCTTGGAAAATGTGCAAAGCTAATTGTTAGATGTTAGGAACATGCATGTTTTCATATGTGGGAAAAGGCTTCTTTTTTTTTTTTTTTTTCAAATAAAAATAAAAAATAAAAATCAGAGACTACTTGATGCAGAGCCAATAGTGTATATATCAAGGCAAAGATGCACCAAGGTTCCAGGTACCTCTGATGCGTGCCATTAGTGTATAACTAATAATTGCTAAAATGAGTTAATGAGATGTATGATTGAAAGGAGAACAACATACCATACAATGAACCATTGTTGTTTGGAAGAATGGCAATAAGTAACTCCAGTTCTTTCCCTTCAAGTTTGGTTGATGCAGCATGGTATACATATTTTAGTGCCTTCTTCACTTGATCTGGTCTTGCTGAATAGATTGGAATAACAGGGTCCCGATTAAATTCCTGAGATCAAAAGCCAAGTTGATTATGAGATCAGGCACAAACGGAAACCACTTGAAGCAACATAGTCCAATGTTAGAAAATTTACCATGCCACAAATTTGGCACATCTGAACTAACTCTTGACAAAAATCATGAGCACTACTCTCTTGAACATTTCGTGAGAAGTTGATACAAGCCCAATACCTTACAATACTTCCATTTATCACTTTCTGCACCAAAGCAACAAGGATTGCGTTTAACCAGATGCAAGTTATTTTATTGTCAAATGTTAAGGTGGCTAATGTTAGAATCCTTTTAACGGTGAGATTAACTTACCTTGTTCATCATATTCCACTGACCAACTTGGGGCAGAAATTCTTTCTCTTTCCCAGTATCATTATATTTCAGCTTTTAGAAAAAAGGAAAAACGTTAAAACTAAGAAGCTGAATGGGTCGCAGAATGAAATGGTAATAGTGAGTTCAAGTCTTAACGTACCCATGGAGCCGGAAGAACACGGGCCTCTATTGATGCAAGCTTGTTGTCTATAGTGATGCCAAACTCCTTGGCAAAAGGATCTTGATCATAACCATTTTGATTCATTGTCTGAAAAGATGATAAAAAACATTTAGATTAACCTCATTTTTTTTTTCCTTCTTAAAACAAAAAACTGACCTCCAAACGGTTAAACTCCTTTTTATTATAGTACACCCTATGTTCATTTCCTAAGAGATTGACATAAGTGCCATCTTTCCTAGTGTTAGAATAAATTAAATTAACAAGGACAGTAAGATAGATGCTATGACGATAAACATCAATTTTGCTTAGATTACTTTTTACGCCCAAACAATCAAGTCAGCCTACTAATTTTATAAGTTTCATGTCCATTATATTTCATATGCTGCAAGAAGTCAAGGAACTGGGTCTTTTAGACCTGTAAGATGTCCATTTCTTGGTCATGGGGTCTTTGGCATGAAACTTTTAAGAGGGAAGTGATCTGTTTTTCATTCAGCCCTTTTGTGTATCTCTGTCCTTCGACTATCTTGCAAGCCTGTGACAAGATTCAATATTTCAATTGTCCGAAGTGCAGAGCTGGATAGAACAGCTGAAACTAGGAAGAAGGTTTTCAGCAGAGCCTACCTCCATGGGCAAATAGTTCACCTTCTTCTGGTTTCCTACTTGAAGGCAAGGAAGGTGTTTGTATTGAATCATGTATCCGTACATCTCTTGAAAGTACTCAACAACTGATTTCATATTCATGTGCTCATCAAGTGGGAAACTGTTCAAATAAAAAAAGGGAGAAATAAAAAATATAAAAGGAAGTATTTGAAAATCAAAGAATATATTCTCTCATGTAAGAACAAGGGGGTCAAGTTCAAGATGTTTAAAAGAAATTGCATACATAAGCTCCCTTGTAGGCTGAGTGGTCAATCCTGAAACCCGGTACTTTCTGCGTACATTTCCTCTATGTGTCACTTCAACTTTGACACCTCTAAGGGCCTTTTTAACCTGGAACATTGAACAAGGTAAATAAACAGGACATCAATGTTTCCTATGTACCACTGACTTATATTAAAGTATAAACTGCACTGCTTTTTGTGATACCTTAATGCGATCTGCATCTGACATTGGTCTTGAATACACATCTTTACCCAAAAGTTGAGCAACAAAATCAATGACAGGGAGTGGTTCAATAAACGTAGTTGTTGACATGTCTGAAACAATAAGAAACAAGAGGAAAAAATGCAGAATGTTTTAGCTTTGGTAACAACATGACCTAGCTAGGTTTCAATAGAATGGAAAGGTCTAGGTAACCTCACCAATATTTAGTGACAACCCCATCTGTGTAGGTCTTATACTCTGGTAGAAGCCACGCCATGACTCCAATCCACCTCCAATGGACATTGGTTTTTTAATATTAGAAGAATAAAGAGACCTTCCAACTGGTATGTACCTATTTTCATCCGGATATAAGAACATGAGAGGAAGTTAGAATACTACTCCTAAATAGCCTCCAACAAACCTCATCAAATATACCACAAAAGTAAGTTAAACAAATATGCTGCACCTCTGGGCCATAATTTCTCTTAACACAATGTCAATAATTCTAATGGCTTCTTGGGGCGAATCAACTTGCTTCCCTGAAAGAAGGTTGCGTAGTTGTTCCATGCTAGCAACTGCTTCAAACTTAATGGTCACTTTAAACATTTGTTCCCTGCTAAAATTAGCAGTATTTGAATCAAAATCCAAGGGGGAGTAGCAGTTTTATCATAAAAACCAAAAGGCCCAAGTTAGTTTAAATCAGTGGGATTGAATGCAAAACACAAAATCCCATTAAACACAACCGAAATTTAACAAGTACCTGACAATGCCTGTTGCTTCATCCCCATCAACCAGCTTTACCGTGAATTCCTTAGAGGTAAAAGGCAGTGATCCAGCAGTGTAAAGGTTTCTTCCCCCATCATAAACAGGAAGCCTCATCCCCAGGTCACTGTTCCTATGAAGTTTAACCAACTGGTTCATGATAGCTTTGTTAACACTAGGAGAAGTAACTTCTGGTTTTACCTTTACCTGCCCAATGAAAGATCGCACAAACACATAAGCCCACAAAATGTAAAATTAATTCTATTTCATAACAGGTTAACTATAATCTATATTTTCATGAAAATTAGGTCTAATTCTAGATATGAAAAACTTACACTATAGTGACTTAAATCTGAACCAGGTATCTCAGCAAGAAAATGATTGGCTTTAACCATACACTTGGTCCCAAGTTGACCATAGTCAGGCCTCCCATGGAACATAAGGTTCTTGCATGGAGTTGCAGAACTCAGAGTAGACACAAGTTTTGTACCTTGCAACCGATCCACTTTGCTTCCTTTGCCTCTTCTCTTTCCATTTCTCATTACTTCACCCTTCTTGCTAACTTCCAAGCTATCTTCAATTTTGGGAATCTTTCGGGATGACTTCTTCAGGTTCATGGAAGCCTTTAGAGGTTCCCTTGATATTACATGGTTCTCCTCAGGGTCTCTCATTTGTATGTGAGGCATTTCTGTAATAAGAAAACAAAGTTCACATGGTTGATTTGAGTGTACAACTAAATTAATTGCTGGTTGAGAGATGGGGAAGAGTAGGGGAGCAGAAGGGAGAAGAGAAAGTTGCACCGAAAAAGAAGAGTGAAATGACAAAGTGATGGCTCAAAAGACTAGCTATGGGACGAAATGGCTTAACATTGTACCACACGTTTTCTGTGCGAATCTTTGAGCATGAGAGATTGATTTCTTTAGAGAAATGTGAAGGAAAATATATAAAGACAGGAAGCATTGTAACGGTTGAAAACCCAAAAAGAAGCAAAAAAGAAAAGAAGAAGACGTACATAGCATCAAATCTCGACAGTGTTCTACTCTTCAACTCTGTATATTCTCTGAAAAGGGATGAAGAAAAGAGACATGCAAGCATGCAAAAGCAATAATCCACCGTACAAAGATTCAGAAGGTCCAAACCATGAAGGAAGTAGACAAAACAAACAAACAAATACCAACAAAAAATTTACAAAGAGTAGTAGAAAAGGTTCATGTAAGATCCACCATCTTTGCTATAGAAGCATTGCTCAAACATCACCTACCTCTCTCTATATATTCTATCTCAGATAAATTGATTTGTATCCCAGCATATTCATATCTCGGTCTTCTATGGTTAGGAATCAAGCAAAGCAAAAAGAGAAGATTTTGAACCTTTTTCTATGGAAGTGCATAAATATGATTATGGACCGCCATTTTACATGGTAGCAGCTTAATCCTGATAGCCTGTGGTCCTAGTGGGAGTTGAATCACCCCAAGTTCTTTGCTGGACAGCTTGTAAAAACCCTTTTCACAGAGAGCATAAAGAAGCTTTAACTCATCCCAAAGCGAGCTACAGTGACAAAACAATGGTAGTAGACAATACACAGCACCAACAGATAGGAAAATCAGCGCCTAAAGTGATCAAGACTATTAGCAACAATTAGGGTTTAAAAAGTGGAAGATGTAGATAACTCAAGGCTTCAAACCTAAACAAAGCATTAGTTCTTTTAATGACCTGAGGCAGGAGTGCAGAACCTTTACAGGTTATGTAGTTTTCCCTGTTGTTTATTAACCGGACACATTGTATGGTTGTGGACTGTGGCATTGATCCTACAGCAAAATTGTCAGTTTTGAATTTTTCTCTTTGCCTTTTGCAGGATGGGGTATTAGGATAATGCTAGTCCCACAAAGGTACTAACCGTGGGATTATTGCAGGTCATGAAGAACAATTAAATGAGCTGTCCCTTTCCACTCATCAATGAAGAGTTGGGGACAGCGGAGATTCAAGGTAAGTGGAGGTGGTCCAACCCCAATCCAACCAGAACTCCATAGCTGCCGTTGAACCCAAATTGATGATTAGCCCATTAAGCCCAAGAAAGAGGAGATTCTAGACAGATTCAGATTCAAAGCATGAAAACATGCTCCATGGATTTATGTCCAGAATTCAAACAGAGTTTACATACAGCTTGAAAACCTAGCCATTTGAAATGCCCACAAGCTGGAAAATGACAGTCCTGAGATCATGCAAATTGTCTGCAATGTTCCCAGTACGATTCTGTCGTGATTCAGGATTTACACAAACCAACATTCATTGACTAAATAAAGGATTTTGGCCTTATGGGTGAGAATCACAAGGCACTGCTGGTGTTTCTTTTTCAGCTATCAGTAATCACATATCACACAGACATTTTTGTGTAAAATTCAAGAGACAGAATACCAATCCCTCTTTCTACTTGATGCTATCGTGCCATTAGAGAATAAAGGGTTTCAAACTAGGTGAAGGTAGGTGAAACTGTTTTCGAATAAGATTTTAAGTCGAGGTATCCAATTTAATGCATTTGGTCTGAGGCTAAGCATAAAAATAGTAAATCGATTTCGATCTTACGTGTATGGGTTTACGCACTTGGGTATTTTGGATCGAAAATCATGTCTTTGGTCGGTGAAAAAACAGTCCTTTTTCTGGACCAGGCCTCTGGAGTCTGGACGCCGGAGACCTTCTCTTTCTTCGGAAAAAATGGGATACTTAGGGAGGACGACAATTTAAAGGAAAGTCTTGTGAAAAGCGACATCTGGGATGGAAAATGGCGTGATTAGAATCTGGAAGATGGAGATTGATTTTGGGATCTCATCTAGGGTTTTGATGGGGCGGGGTAGGAGTTGAAAATTTGACATCACGGGAAGGGTGAAAAGGTAAATTCATTAGAAAACGGAATAAGGATGTAAATTTACAGGTCATAATAAATACTCCCTCTTAATTTTTTGACTTTACTCATTTATATCTTTATTTATATTATTTTTAAAAATATATATAAATAAAGATTTTTTTTCCATTACAATGTTATTAATAATTAACATTAATAAATAATAATAAAGTTAAAATAAAAAATAAATTCTTGTCTATCTTAAATATAGAAAATACAAAAAAAAAAAATCAATATAAATTTTTCATAAAAAAATTATTATTGTAAGATATAGGGGTGTAGTAATGAGTAGTACTACTTTAATTTACACTAAGACGAATTGATAATATGTCAAGGTATAATTTTATAGAAAACGTGAGGGGAAGATAACAAAAAAAGTTTGTGCTATGAAATCCCAACTAGTTAGCAACTTTAACTTTAAATAGGTTTAATGTGGTGGCTTTATTCATCGTAAAGTTTGGTATGGTGGGACTAAATAAAATACCTATGTTTGACCTTACTTATATTTCCATGTTGAGGGTGTAGTTATGGCGATATAGTCAAATGTTTAGGCCACACAATTATAATTGTTAAATATTAATTTTATTTTATTTAATTATTAAAAATAATTATTAGTTAATAAACTAATTCAAATTTATCTTTTAATAAATTAAAATTAACTTATAAGTTTATCTTATTAAATGTTATAATTAATTATTTGAAAATTATAAATTAATAAAATACCAATTAAATTAAAACAAATACGTGTAACTTCCTTTAGTATTTAGATGTACGGTCATAACCATATCCTTTATTCAAGTTCACTGGTTTTTTTTTTTTTAGTGGGAGGAAGCTCGGTTCATATATTG